AGGCTATATAATATGTAACTTTGTGACCATTTTGTTTTGACTTTTTCCTGAAGACGCCGGTATAAACATCTAATTATATTGATCTTACAGCCTGTGAAGTGTCAAAATGGCCCCATTTTGGGGTCTCCCCGCCAGACAGGAATGCTACAGATCAGAAGATTTTATGGTTGGAGACAGTTGTGGTCTTTGATTGTAAAACACCAGGTGGCCGCACTATCTTTTAATTGCTTGATGTTTTCTGAAACAAACTCCTAATGCTATTACCTAGCATAAGATAGCAGCTACACAGAGAGGAAGGGGCGGACCATTGCCCCGGACATGATGAAAGCGGTCTTCATTTTCAATTTAGCAAACGGAGAGCAAACACCTCAGAAATTCAAGGATCTGTGATTTTAACCAGAGCCAAAAAGACCTCCTAATTTCACCAATGGTAGGTACACTTCAACATACGTTTAAAACTAGTTTTAAATACTTAATAAAATGTCATCTTATTTCGTATAAACACTGTTTTATATGTTTATTTATCTGTGTAAGGCAGTATATTGTTGTGCATTCGATTAAAATGCTTATACTTTATAATTTAATATCTTATTTCAAATAATATGAACTCTTATTCACTATATATTATATGTTTTATTTATCTGTGTAAGGTCGTATTTCGTGTGTATTAGATTCAAGTTTGTATACTTGGTAATTTAACAGTTTGTTTAAAATAATATGTTTCACAAATTTATATGTTTTATTTATCTATGTAAGTCAGTATATTGCAGACAACAGACAACATAGTGGTCAGTGAAGTGAAGATGCAATAGAATATTGGAACCTAGGAACCTGTATTAGATTAAAATGTGCATACTTGGTAATTTAACAACTTATTTAATATAATATCAACTATTCGCTATTTTATGTTTGATTTATCTATGTAAGGCAGTATTTCGTGGTGTATTAGAATAAAATACGTAATAATTTAGAATCTTATTTCATATAATATCAACTATTATTCACTATTTTATTTATCGGTGTATAAGAAAGTATATTGTGCGTATTATATTAAAATGATTATATACCTGATAATTAGCATCTTATTTCAAATAGTACAAACTATTTTCACTATTTTATGTTTTATTTAACTTTGTAAAACCATATATTGTGGATAATTTAACCTCTTATTATATATTATATAACCATAATAATGTGAACTATAATTCATTACTATTATATAACTAATATTATATAACTATTATTCATCACTATTATTTATCTGTGTAAGCCAGTATTTTGTGGTGTATTAGATTAAAATACTTGATAATTTAACCTTATTTCATATAATATCAGCTATTATTCACTATTTTATTTATTTATGTAAAACAGCATATTGTGATGTATTATATTGTGTTGTATTAGATTAAAATACATGATAATTTAACATCTTATTTCACATAATATCCCCTATTATTCAAAATTGTATATGTTTTATTAAACTGCGTAAGACCCTATACCACTGATGTATGGATTAAAATGCTTATAGTCAATTCGACATATTGTTTCAAATAATGAACTGTTATTCACTGTTTTATTTAAGACAGTATATTGGGGTGTATTTGATTAAAATGCTTATAGTCAATTCAACATCTTACTTCATTTAATAACTAATTCATGTGTTTTATTCGAGCACAGTGCTTTTAATTTCTTAAAACTGTTTGGGATATTTCATCTGCTCAGAAAGACTTAAGAATCCGCAACAATATTCAGACGCATAAAGGATACCTAATTAAGTTCAGCACATGTTAAAACTTACTTTAAATGTGTAATTAAATTAATCACTATTTATGTGCTTTATTCAAGCACAATGCTATTTCTTTAAACTCATTTTTGTGACATTTCATCTGATCAGAAAGGTTTAAGAGTCTGTGACTAACCAGATAGACGCATAAATACCTCCTCATTAATTTCCAGAGTTGTTTTAAAACTTTGCTTTAAAATATATAATGAAGTTTTATTTTATAAGCTTTTATTTGTCATCAATGCTATTTCTTTAAACTCATTTTGTTTCATTCTCCTCAGCAGGCAATATGGATGGTGCAGTGCCGGCTGAAAATCCGTGTCAGACCTCTTCATGTTCATAATTTCGGCGTTCTGTGAACATTATCCTGATATAATAAAAACTTTCCCTGAAAACATTCCTCTCAGTCACACCAAGCAAATTGCCCCGTCATAAACACACACACACCCACACACACACACCATTCCTCTCAGTCACACCAAGCAAATTGCCCCGTCATGAACACACACACACACACACACACACACACACACACACACACACACATAAACACATAGCCATAAACTCCGGAAACACATGGTCGGGGTCAAAAGTTCACATACCATCTGGTGGTCATAAAACCCCCTCCCTACTACACATCCTGTCAAAACTTTCTGTCAACCAAATGATCGAACGCTCATCAGGGCAAAGGTTAATCCATCAATCCCGGAAACGGGGAGGGCTAGGTCAAAGGTTAATCCATCAACCCCGGAAACCGGGAGGGGTAGGTCAAAGGTTAATCCATGACCCCGGAAACAGGAAGGGCAAGGGGAGGGGCAAGGTCAAAGGTCACCATCAATCATTTTGACACAAGCTGCAGTATAATAACTACTTCCATGATATCCGAGTGAAATTGCTTCTCGAACAAGAAAGAATGTAAGACGGGTTACGGGACAGTTGAACACCACTTTTACGGACTTAACGTTACTGCATTTGCGTGTTTAACTTTCTACCATAAGTAGGCTAATAAGTGCACCGTCTTCGTCTTTGGAACTAATCGAAGAGGACGATGAAAAACGCAATAAAATCCACAGAAGACAAGCAACAAAGTGGACATACGAGGTTGAAGGTACCCGCGTTTGTACAACTGGAGTTTAAAAGATAAAGCAAGCTGTGTTTTCTGTCCTATGCTGGTCAGGTGGATTAATGTTAAGCAGTTAAGTTAGTTTGCGTGCGTCGAATGGTTATGGAGGTTAGAAAAGCTAAAACGCTTGATCGCGTACAAGACAACCACAGACGTCAAAACGAATAAAACACTGCTCTCTCCATGTAACGTTACTAGTAATCTCCCTAGTTCAAAAAGAACATAATATTGCCATATTGTGGAGAAACATCAGGAAAAACTTTCTATGAAGAGTACAGATAGACTAGACAAATCAGGGGTGTGCGATATCACAGTTTTTAATCGTGGACGATTAAAATGCCTCCACGATCTGCTTTTGATGAAATATCGTAGGCTACTATTTCCAGCCGACGTCACAGCGCTAGCTGGTGGCAGAACAAAGGGAAAACTGGAGGCGGTGAATACAAACCAGCACAGATTCGGCTACAAAATAAGGATCTTAAATTATTCTTATTATTATTAAATGTCATCTTGTTGTGTTGTTGGGTGCAAGAATCAATGAAACATTAATATGCTTTATCTGCAATTTTTTATTTCTAGAAAATATTCACCTCATTAAAATTGCACCGTAATGTCACTCTTTACATTGTCGTCTTCATGGCGCTGGCTAGGCAGAACTGCGGATCGTACACACACGTCTTGCACATCACCATTCAGCACATAGTTATAGGCATCTAAAGATTTATATGCCCTCCGTTTCTCTATCAGGTTGGTGTAGATGTCAGGCCACTCAACCGGAGGTAGCGTTAACGTTAATCCTGTCAGATCCTCAATGAGTGTACGGGTCAGCCAATCTGGTTCCGTCCGTTAAAATTAACTTTTGCAAATAACAATCGCGGTCCTGGACAGTGAGTGACCTTGCACATTAAGATAAAATCGGATTTTCTCCAGTCATTGTTAAAAACAAGCTAACAAAACTTGCAGACTTTACGTTAGTGAAGCGGCCAGAGGGATCGTTCTGCCACCACCTAAGCTCCGCCCACATAAAACGTCACCATGTTTACCAACTGAAAATTGGTCTATTAGTATCGTGCTACAGTGCATTCTATCAGTTGCAGTTCTGGCGCCACCGTCTCAACATTCACGCATCACATGTTAACGCAGCGGTAGAGTTAGGCCGTGTGTCCACCAAAACGTTTTTAGCCAGCTGAAAACGCTAGACGCTCTGCTGAAAACGCCTAGCTGTGGGCGCTTGAGAGCGTTCTGGCAGCACAGCGTTTTTTCTGTTGAGACGTTTCGTTGCTATGATACAGAATATCCGCAGCACAGTTTACTTGTAACTGATTTCGCAGGTAATTTGTTTCATACTAAAAAAATATTTTTCATCCATTTTGTTCGGTTTGCTCTGCTGGTTGATGTCGTTGTACAGAAAGAATGTTGTGACAGTTGGTCGGTGTGGTATTAGTCCCGCCCCTCCTCCACTGTGATTGAACATTTTTCAACTCTCGGAGCCAGTAAAAACGCCGAGCTCTCAGCGCTTCAGCGTGAAAAAAACGTCCAGCGCCTCATTGCGCTCATGGCGTTCTAAAAACGCAGCGCTCCCGGCGTTCTAAAAACGCAGCGCTCCCATTGAAAACAGTTGAAAACATACGGCAGGCGCGTGGAAAAACGCTTTGGTGGACACACGGCCTTAAAGTGACAGTAGCCCAATAGTAAAAATGCTGCCGCTTGTCCATAGTTCACCCAAAAATGAACATTCTGTCATTTACTCCTTCTAATGTTGTTCCAAACCTGTATTTAATTTTTTTTATTGTGCTGAACAAAAAAAAAAAAAAAGAAGAATATATTTTGAAGAATGTGGCTATCCAAACAGTTGCTGGTCCCCATTGACTTCCATAGAAAAAAATATATACTATAGAAGTCACTGGGGACCAGCAACTGTTTGGTTACCCACATTCTTCAAAATAACTTTTATTTTCAACCGAAGAAAGAAACTTATTCCGGTTTAAAACAACTTGGTGTGGAACCAAGACTATGCTTGCATGTTTTGACTGTGTGTGTGAAAAAGAATTCAAAATTCTTAAACATTATGAAAGGGTATGTTTGACCCCTCACCTTTGCCCTCAGGTATGCGTTTGGGTCTTGAGTTACAGCTTTGTTCTTCAGTTTCCAATTTTGCGCCCTTCTTTGAACAACCACAGCTGTCTTCCAGTAAAGTACACCCTTCATTGCTTTCTTGGATCTGAAACGGATCATAAAAGTTAGTGTTATCCTTCAGCTCTGAAGGGGCAGAGCTGTAACTTTCCTATCATGCATGTCTATACCTGAGCAATTCATTCGCATACATGTATGACCTAAAAGAAGACCACATAACTCCTCAAATTAGATCGACAAGACACTCCTGGTTGAATCTTGAGAAAGTATTTCACCCCAAAATGGTCCTCTATTGTAAGGACCAATTCCCCCTAAATACCCAATACCTAATGCTTTTGAACATTTGAGTTCTCCATGGTAAATTTCTTTAGATTCTAATCACTGGTTCTTTATTTAAATCAGCATAAATTAAAGATAATACTATAGTACCATGACATTTTGATTAAAAGATGTACCTTTCTATTAAAACATTGACAATCTAAATAAAGTAAATCTGTGCCACTGTCAAGGCATTCATTTAATTGGTATATATTTACATGTAATTCCATATACAAACATTCCAGACAACACATATGCTAGAATAACTCTTTTTTTTAATCTTCATTATCTACTGTAGAAAAACATCCAAAGTACAGTTTACTGGAGGAGGCCTTATCTTTTATGCTTGCTTCCTTCATTTGCAGTAAACATTTGGTAAGTTGGCCTAGTTGGAGCAATATCAGTATTGAGCTGATGACTTGTTGTGACAAGTTTGGCAAAATTCTATTGAAGGCTTAAGTCTTAACCATGAAGTAATCATTTTTCGATTAGAAGTACAAAGAAGCCCAAAAAAGTCTTTCAATGAGACAGCAACTCACTAAAAATACTTGGGATAAATGATCATGTGGTCCATGTAATTCCATGCTGATCTGATGCTGGTAAGAGAGACTGAAAATTTAGAATAGGTAAAAATAAGAAGCATCCCTAAGGCATAAGATAAGAGACACAGGCCTGCTTTCAGTCACTCTTGTTTTGACTCGTGTGTGTTGGTCTGAGTTATTAGAGTATTGCTAAAGCATTTAAGCTATTTATACAAACAATTGTGAAATAACTACAAGAAGGGTAAATAATAATAATAAGGCCCAGTTTCACAGACAGGGCTTAGATTAAGCCAGGATTAAGCCTTAGTTCAATCAGTGCATTTAAGTAGCTTTTATAAACGTGCCTTAGAAAAAAAATTACTGGTGTGCATCTTGAGGCAAAACAGTGGCACGGACATATTTTAGCACATGCTTTCAGTTAAAACAGCTCAAACATACATTTTAGTCTGGGAGGATAGCCTTAAGCCTTGTCTGTGAAACCGGGGGTAAGTGTAGTGCACTGATTAAGATAGTCAGGTCATGTAATGTCATGTCCTGTGGTGTGATATGGTGTATTCTAGCTAAATCACTACATTTTGCTAATGCATATTGTTATGAATTAGTTTATTAGCATATGTTCTAACTAATACAGTTCTTTTGATCTAATATTAATTGAGAGACAGCATGGAATATTTATTCATTTTTGCACTACAGGACCATTACTTAAAAAGGTGATTAAAATGGATTAATTGATGCAAATACATTTATGGACATCAACCACCCATATACTTATCATTTAGTTGGGCAATGAGGGAATTGTATATGCAGTAATTTCTGTGTAAATTGTTCATAAACCATTGAACTTAAAGCGACAAAATTCATGTAGAAACATGTCTGTTAAAGAGCGCTAACAGACTTTAAACACACTGTCAAAATCTGGTTATCTCAGTCATGTCAGACTGTTTGTAATAAACCAAAAGACACGTACAATAACAGCCATACTAGATAAGGCCTCAAAAGAATCTCATCTTTTTCAGTGTATATTTAATAGCAGTCAATAATATGTGTATGTAATTTACACTATGGTTTGGTCTCCAAAAGTGACCTTAAAATGTATCAATTTTGTACAAAAAAATGTGTATAAAAATAGGTTGTCTACGTAAAGTATGTTCCCATTTATAAGTAAATGTGTGTGAGTGTGTTTTCTCACCCAGTGCTGGTTACTTAAGTCCAGGGATGGGTTTGATAAAGACATCAGCAGTTGCTCTGGGGTTCCCTGAAGTTTGGCCAAACTCTTCATTTTCCTTTTTCTTTGTCTCCAGATGGATGAAGGAAATGTTTGGCTGCGTGTTGTGTCTTCTCTATACTAGTCCAGTACTGTCCAGCTTAATCTCTACTCCACTCTCCCTGATTCACTGACACACATTCTTATCTATCTCCTTCTGCTGTCCACCACCCATTCCCTCCTGTTTCTCCAACACCCTCTTGCTCCATCTTAACCTCCCTGAGAGAGAGAAAGAGAGAGAGAGAAACGTGAGGAAACAAGAGAAAGGACTCAACATGTTGTTCTACAAACCTCCAATCTCAGACATAAATAAAGGAAGGAATTAAATAAAGTCTTATTTAACATGTACAAGTCCCAAAGGTTAGGATTAGGGTTCTTCCTTAGGGTTAGTTTAATTAACTTAAATTTAGAACAACAAGTCAGTGAGAGGCCACCGACATGATATAAAAACAATGTGCTTGTTTGAGGACGGATATTCTAGATCTATTATCCTTGTCCCCATAAGGAAAACATTTCAATAAGCATAGTAAATAGTGTCTAAACAATCTATAAATGTTGAAAGGTTCTTAAAAAAATAATAATTCATTTGAGAAAGTAGCAGAGTTCAGTTACGTGAAAATAATAATAAAAATGTTTTCTTTTTATACAGTTCTGTACAACAAATTCTATTCTAATTAAATTCTATTATTAATGAAATAGAAAAGGAAAATGAGGTTGATGTCAGAATCTAACGTCAGATTGACGTTAATCTCCAACATTGGACAGACGTTGTATTGCGGTTGAAAATGAAAATCGGGTTGACTTCAGAAACCAACATGAGTCGGGTTCTGACGTCAATACGATGTAGTGTTCTGACGTCAGGTTGTGACGTCAACCCGACTTTCATTTCCAACCATAATGCAACCCCTCCAACCAAAATCATCCCCTGACTGACGTTACTACTTTCTACTCAAGGACCTTGACAGAAATGTAGTGGAGTAAAAAGTATGATATTTGTCTTTCAAATGTAGTGAAGTTAAAGTAAAAAGTTTCCTGATATCTGATCAAAGACAGCTTCACATTCCATATAATCCTCTGAACTAAATTGCCAGTGACATAAAACAAGCAATATATAAGACAAAAACACACAAAGTCCTGAAACACACCCACTGCATGTTTAACTTTATCAGCATTGGAGTCATAATAATTTTTGGTAACGCTTTAGATTACAGCCCGTAAAGTACTGCGTAATTAAAGCAATTTTACAGCGTAACCTTCGGTAATTACTAATTATAGTGTACCTATAATGTACTTACAATATAAGTATAAGGGAACAATATTTTAAGTTTGGGTAATAAAGGGGTAACAACCAGGAGAATTAAATTATTTATACTGTAAGTATTATAGAACTAAGGGGTACTTATTCTACTATTATGATATAACAATCTTACATTTGGGATCAATTTAGCAAGAACATATACTGCGTACCTTTTTGAAATAATGGTGAACCTGTATAGGCTTTATAAATGCATAATTACATAGTACTTTCCAGGCTGTAATCTAAAGCGTTACCTAATTTTTATATTTAAATGTTTGTCAGTATGAGACAGAGAGAAAGAAAAGGAGACCATTTTGAGTGTGTAATATAAAAATAAAGTACAGTTGTCAAACTTTTTTTTTTTAAATGCAGAAAGTTGGGTTATAGTATTTATAAGTAGCTGCATAAAAAGAATAGAAGTCTATGCAATGTCCCCATTTAGATAGCTAAGTAAATGTGTGTGTGTGTGTGTGTGTGTGTGTGTGTGTGTGTAAGTGTGAAAGGTGATTACGCTTCCAGTGCCTGTGTTGGGTCCTTTCTGATCCTGAAAGGCATTAGTCTAAACCTGAGGTGTTACGGAGCATGTATACACACCTCTATAGGATCACATACACACATGCACTACAAAGACATGAAGCTGTCTGTTGTATTTTCTGGGAGCTGAGGTTTCTGATAATAAGGACGTGAAAGTTGATTCAAAGTAGCAGTGCTCACCGAAGGCTCTTCTTTTCTTCTGAAAGGTGGACACAGGTGAGTTATACTCCATATTTATACAATATCTCTGTTAAATAAAGTAAAAAAAGAGCGTCATATTGGTACACTAGAGCTCTAAAGAGAATGTTTATTGCTGTATTGTTGTAATCTTTGGATTGTATTTTGCTATATTTTGCCTTGTGACATGCACAACTGGAGAAATGTTTTATTTATTGCTGTTTTGACAAATAGAAATACCAGTTTTGTAGCAAAACTAAATATGTTTACAACTTAAAATAGCTGTATAAATGTATATATATTAATGCTACAGTTCACTGAGGTAACATGCTTTTAAAGAGTACGTAAGCCTGTTTATTGGTCTCTGTGTATTTTAAGCCTGAGCAGACCAGATTTAGCCCTGACAATTAAAGCACAGCTCTCCCAGGCTAAATCCAGAGCTATTAAAACTCCCAATTTTCTCGCATCAGAAGCTTTTGAGTCAATTGAACTGTAATAGTTGCAATCGCTGCAAATTAATTATTTTTATGAAGGTTCTCACTTGGTTAGAGAGTCTTGTGGTTTATCTCTGTTGGTCTGTTTGCCTCAATACAGGGGCCGTAAACACTTGGAGTGCATTCCTTCACCTCAAGTTGCTGACCTACTACAGTCGCATTGGAACACTTTCCTCAAACGGCAGAAAAGATGATGTAGACAACATTAAACTCTGAGACATGGCAGCAGTTCATAGCTCTGCCTTTGAGGACCCAAACCTGGGGTCAGGCCCAGCTGACGATGAAATATCATTGTTGGAAGAGTCTGACTCTGGAAGTTTGCTCTCTGATGACTCTGTTCTCCCTGATTATGAACAAGAGAACAGGAAAAAGGGAACTGCCAACACACTATATGAGGCGTGTGTCCAAAACGATACAGAAGCACTGAAGAGAGTGTTGGAACGTGGTGTGACCCATGATGAGGTCATGGAAGTTGACATTAATGGCTGGGTAAGATTTTATAAGATATTGCAAATTAGTACTAAAGAGCATGGCACTGACTGTCTAATCACTGAGCAGAAAGGTCAGTTGCTATGGCAATAGTTTTTTTTAGGAGTGAGCTATGAAAGATTGAGGTAATCCATTAAAAATAACTTTTCAACCTTTCATTACAAATATATAACATCATTGTCAACCATTGATGTTTTGGTCTACCTTCGTATTGGTAGCACTTTATTTTACAGTACTTGCCTAAGAATGTACTGGGTAATATAAGGTAACAACATGGGTTAAAGGTAGGTTTAGTGGTAAGTTCAGGGTTAGTACCTAGTTATTATTGCAATTACCATATTAAGTAGCCTACATAGAATGCACATGGGGAGCATATTAGATGGCCTTAACTACTAACATGTTATACCTACAAGAAGACTATGGGTTTATTGTGTAATAAATGTTCTGTAAAATTCCCACATTTACTGTTTGTGGTTAGGAGTAAATGTAGGGTTAGAGTTCGGGGGTAAGGGTTTGGATTACAGTTAGAAGAAACGTAAACAGTGCAACAACAAATCTTATTTAAATGCACCCAGATGTATCTATGTATGTAATAAGTATATTGCATCAAACGGTTAAGTATAGTTAAGGCCACCTAATATAAAGTGTGACCAATGTTTTAAACAAATTTGTAGGTCATCGATAAAGGCTATTTCAACATGGTTTTCTATGGGAGTTTCAAATGTAGAGTAAAATGGGGTCTGAGGTATTTCTTGAAGAGACTTTTATGTTTAGTTTAAACTACAACTTGGACAACCATTGCAGTCTTTATGTAGCAACTTGTTAACAAAATTCATATTTGAGGTATGACTGGATTTCATTTGAAATTTAACAGCATGTGAAGTCAATTTAAGGAATATTAACAGACCTTATTGTAATCATGAATCAAAAAACCCTTATTAAATGATCGTTGGAAATTCCTGAACAAAAATATGCCTCGAAAAGTGTTGCTGGGTTATTATGGATTGATTGATTATGAAAGTGTTGCCTGTTGGTGTGGAGTGACCATGTGCTGCAGTCTGTCTCTAACCTTTTTAACTGTAAATTGATAGAGGTCCTTATAACATGATTCTCTTCTAGAATGGACTGATGGTGGCTGCATATAAAGGATTTCTTCCGATTGTTTATGAGCTGCACGGCTGTCCACACCTGGACATTAACCACCAAGACAATGACGGCAACACTGCTCTAATGATCGCTGCTCAAGCTGGTCAGTTACCGTGTGATGTCAATTCACTTTTTTGGATGGTTGTTAGAGGAGCTACGGCCTGGATTCTGCTGGCAGTCATAGCGTTACAGTATTTACAGCCTAATATTGTTGAGTTTTGTGAATATTGTTCAATAAGTATAATTTACATAAAATGGAGGTGTATTTGTATAAATGTTAAAGTTATGTTAAATACTATTTAAGGTTACTATTTACTGTTTAGGGAATTCACCCCATTTCTTTATTTTGTATATCTTCGGAAATACAATGTGAAAACGTTTTAAATCTTTCTGTACACAGGTAATGTCTCCATATGTAACTACATCATGAATTACTTCCCTGGAGCAGAGACAGAGATCAGAGACAACAGAGGATTCACTGCCCTCATTAAAGCTGCCATACAGGGCAGGACTGATGTGGTGGCAGCTCTTATAATGCACGGTTAGTAATTGAATACCCATGCTGATATGCTGGAAATTATCTCTGAGGTATGAGCATTTCACATACTGCTTATATGTTTATCATATCACTTGGTTGGGAGAGACAATAAATCACCAAATGGCCCACATAGCCAATCAAGAATGGCATATGCTGGCATAGACCCAGTTCACCTCAGTAGCACCTATTGGATTAATTAAGCAGCCACGCATAAGATCCGTGGCAAGGTGCAAAATTAGTTCTTCTGACAGCATTTTAGACAAACACTTTCTTTTTTTTTATACCTAAAATAATTGTGCATCTAAACTAATCTCAATCTGTTTGCATGACATGACTTTCCTGTTCTCTCCACATTATTCTTTAAATTACTCAGGCCTGTCAATGTGCACATTTTAATGTAATCTTTAAATGTCCAGCTGTACTCTGCTTCAGCAGCATCCTCTAATACACAATATTCTTTTTTTTAATTCTCTGTATTGTTCTATCTTAGGTGCTGATTTAAATGCTGTAGACACCAACCGTGGTAAATGTGCACGTGACTGGGCACTGAAAACAGGTCGCTTTGACACACTGACACGTCTGCGCCACCTTGTACTCCATCCCACAGCGGAACAGTTCTGTGACACCTACGTCCCAGAGTGGCCCAACCTTAAGTTGCTGGTCAGCAAAACAACAGCCAATAAGAGTGCTGGCCAGAAGTTGACTCATCATCTCAAGAGTACGTTCGGTTTCAGTTTCCCACGCGACCCACAGGAAAATGGCGTCATGGATCACATGGTGCGAATGACCACCAGCCTACACAGCCCGCTCATAGCCACAGCCACACGCCCGCTTTGCCCGAGCAGCCCTCCACAGGTAGGTAAACGTCGGCTGGCTGTGGCTGAGCTGATGCAGAAGCACTCAGAGAAACAGCTGGAGGAGAGTTCACTGTGCCATCGAAACAGCTCCATCTCCAGCTTTTCTCCATCTACCCACTCTGTCGAGTCCGTCTCTGTGTCCTGCTGTGCCGATACAGAGAGGCGTGGAAGTGTGCTGTCCATTGCTCAGTCCGGTATGCGCACATTCATCCCTCGTAGCGTAGCGTCAAGGCGCAACAGTGTTTTCCCCTCGGGCTGTATCCCACAGATCAAAGTCACTAAATCCTCTGAGCCCACCCCAAAGAAAGTGAAGAAGAATAAAAGGCAGAAAGGTTACCTGGAGCCTCCAAAGTGGAAGTATAAGGAGGCCAAGGATGAGAAGAAGAAAGAGAAGAAAGCGTTAAAGGAAAAAGAAGAGAAAGAAAAGGATAAAAGAAAAAAGAAAAAGTGATGACTAAGGATTTTTGAAATCTTTTAAACTCTGATAAGCACTCAATGAGGGTCTAGATGCCCTCAGTGTTGTGGGGCAATGCTTGATGACAGAATCAGTGAAGCAATGCAGTGAAGAACGCATGGGACCTGAGAAGAAGTGCATTTTGAAACCTCAGCGGTACAGTCCTGTCTCACGAAATCATTTCCTACTATTATTGGCAGTTGAAAGGGGAAATGTATCTATGATCATTTCAGTCCGTCTCAAAGGCTTAAGCAAACAGTTTAAGATATCTGATTGGATGATATCTTGCAATATATGATAGTTCCTAAATGTATTCTGCATTATGTATTTAAATAAACACCTACATAATCAGAACTGAATTGTGCTATAAATATTTCAGTTCATATATTGAACAATTTAATTAGGCATAGTCCATCACTAACATATAATTAAAAAACAACAACAAATTAACCATAGCTTATCTACACAATTATATATTTAAATGCTGTGGATTCCATATTTGCAAAATTATCCCACAGCAGACGTGCAGACGTAATTCAGCTGCTAATAAAATGAACATTTAGAGGTTTTATACAGTGTGAACTCTAACAAAATGCTATCATGACTGACTTGATCATGTATTATGTTTGTAAATATGTATGATCTATTGTAAGATGCTGTAAATATGATTTAATAAACTATGTATCCTGTAGTACACAAAAATGGTCTTATTAGGCTTTTTCTCACACTAGCTCTCTTCCACCTGTGTGGATCTCTGACAGAACGCCAGGGACAAATGTGACTGAACAGTCTGTAATCTGCTCTCTCACAGTTATACAACACAACCATCCTAAGAGCAGCAGTAAAGCCATGCAGGATTAGAGATCTAACCGGGTCACTCAGGTTAAGCAGAGGCCTCTGTCTAAGTTTGGCTTTTAAAGGACGTGCTTTGGAATCACTTTTGTAGTGACAAGATCTTCATCAACAAGGGGAGAGAAATACTGTGCACCCAGTATTACAAAGAAAAAGGATTCGATTTGAAATAAAAGACAAGCAGAATGTGGGAATGTGCAGGGGTATACAATTTAAAAAGAAATATGATGCGATCAATTTTCTATTGTATGGACAGAGGTATAAATATAAGTTATGGCTAATGTGAAAATGTAAGTGAATTGTGCTGGGAAAAAAATCTAAAAATTTCAAGTGTGCAAATAACACTGTTCTTGGTGATTTATTTAAGCCTTTATCATCCTAATGCAAAACTAAAAGAAATAAACAGATGAAATATAATACAAAAATAAAAAATATATTTTAAATAGAATTATTGTGAATATATTTCACACAGTATATAGTGGACTAAAAGGTTATTTTACAGTAAATAAAAAAAAAACTGTCACATCCTTTTTTGGGGGTCAATATCCTCTTTTTTTTGTTGGTGGACTTCCTGTTAGTTACTCAATGCAGTGTTTCGCCAGGTGGGTATTTTTGCTCAGCTTTGTTGTGGATTTAAGTTTTCATTCGCATTGTCACAGTTTCATTTACTGGTACATTTACCTGTCAGGATGTTTCTCCCCAACACAAGAGGTAAGTGTTTATTTCATTTTCCTGATGTTTTTAAAGTAAATCTTGCTCATCTCATTGCATTGCAGTACATTGTCCATCAGTGGAACATTTAATTAAATTGAGCTAATTAACGCAATAACATGTAGCTCTGATTTCCAGTTAACGATTGTTGTTTTCAGTTCATTACATTTGCAACTAATGGTATAAATTTGATGTCAGGGCTACCCAGTGAACTTGCATTATTCTCCCCCATTTCTTTCTGCAACAAGATATACAATGTATTTGCATTTATTAGAAGAGAACTGGCTTGATAGATAGAGCTGGCACTATTATTGATTCTGAAAATATCATCATACGTCCCCATGCTTGAGCTAATAACATTTGCATTCCAGTTAGCAGGACTGTTTAGATGGAGACCAGTCAGTTTAGCCAATTAAGCCATAAGTGTTGAAAACAGTACTCCTCTAAATCTTGAGTTTGTTTGACTCATAATAATATACTTTTGTAAAGTAAAAATATATTTTCAACCAGTAGTCTAAAACTATATTAAGGGTTTAAATATTTTTGGGGGGTTTAAATAATGTCTTGTTGTTTGTTTCCCCCATGTATAAAATGTTGAAACTTGCACATTTCATGTACTTAAATTTGGGAAGTCCTGTTTTTCACAGTATATTGCAATCGCTCTTTCTTCATAGTGCTAGCTGTGGTGTGCTGGATAATGTGTGTGAGAATCACAGTGTCCCAGGGTAAGAATCATTTCACCTGAATAACCTACTCCTGCACAGAGGCAGAAGCACACATATTATATGGTCAGTACAAGGGAAGAATGGCAATTTTGTTTTCTATTCAGGTGACAGGTCACATAATCTTGCATATGTCATGCTGTTTATAGAAGTGCTGAATTCTCACCAACTTAAAAGCCTAAAAAGTTGCTACATAAATGTGTAAAAATGTGAATGATCATAAAGTCTGATAAATAACAGTATTCATAATGTTAAGTTCATCATGCCTGCACTAACTTATGCAGGTTCTCTTTTTATTGTGCAACTACACTACAGTTCAACGGTTTGGGTCGATCATAATTTAAAATGTGTTTGAAAGAAGTCTCTATTACAATTACTAATACCTCTTTTTTTATTTTAACATATTTTGAAATTTTAAAAGCTGATTACTGCAGTCTTCAGTGTTGCATGATCTTTCATGTGCTGATTTAGTGCTTAAGCAGATGTGCTGCTTAATATTTCGGTGGAAACTGATAAATTTTTCTTTTCAGGATTCTTTGATGAATAGAAAGCTCAAATGCACAGCATTTATTTGAAATAGAAATCTTTTGTAACATTTTCTGTATTTACTGATCAATGTCCTTGATGAAAGTAATTTATTTTCTCTTCTTTTCCAAAATACCCAAACTTTTGAACCGTAGTGTATGTGTGACTTCAAATGGCCTGTTAAGGTCAGTGCAACATAAAATCCTAACACTAAATAAAAACAAATCCCATGATTATGCAGTTTGCTGATTGATTTGAAATGAACAAGCACACATTAACTAAATGAAAAACTATAAATTCTGGTCCAATATTGCATTAATATGTATTGTCCTCCCTTTTCTTTTTCTGTTCCTTTCTCATTCTGTCTCTCACCTCTAGCATCTGTTCCAGCCCCTAAACTCAAGTTCACATACTGGGTGAATGAAAGTAATATTGTGCTAAACACTTTATTACATGTTTCCTGTGACGCCCCTAGCGGTGCTCCGTATCCTCTAACTGTGTCTGTGGGCAAGCTGGAAAGCTCCTCACAGACCCCAGAGACCACAGAACCCTGGGTGACCTCTGAGGTCGTCAAATATCCGACTTCAGTGGGTTTCAATATCCCCGCAATAGCCAAGTACGAAGGGAAAATGGTGTGCTGGTACCAATCCACTCGAACTGAACTGAAGAATTCTTATTCTGAATTCAGTAACACTGTTCCCTTGGTCGTATGTAAGTTTGATTATGCATAGATAAGTGTGTTTTTACAAAATATATTAGAAAATTTCTACTGAAATGTCACTCTATTTGTCTCTGTTTCCCTTTACCAGCTGCCCTCCCTCCTCCCAAAGTGTCTTTGCACCCCAATCTCTTTCTTGTGGGTGGGAATTACACTGTGTACTGTAATTCAACCGCTGGTCCAGTCACAAACTTCACATTGAGTCTGTATTACCGCATCCTCCCTGTCACACCCGGAACCAACTGGACCTTCGCTGGTTCGGTGTTTCTCACAGATGGCACTAGTATCTATTTAAGACAGACGAATGCAGTCGTCCAAATAGAGTTTGTCTGCACTATGGAGATGTTGTACAGTGGAAAAGTTTTGCATTCACTGCAGTCTAACATTGAGCAAGCCTTTCCAGGTACAGAGAAGCAATGCATTTCTTTGTATGAATGAGAGTTAATATGTGTGCTTATGTACACACACACGGTCCAAAGATTGACTCAGAAGACTTAAAGGAGAACTCCGGCGCAAAATGAACCTTTGGTCTAATAAAACATTGGTACCCACACGAAGACAGTAACATAATGAGGGTCCCTACATGCAAAACGAAGCATTGAGAACTTTGTAAGTGTACAGACCGTTTAATACGAAGATAAAGATAAAGACAGTCCACTTCGTGTATACAGACAGGAGCCATCTTTGGAAAACAGTCTCGACTAATCAAACCACGAACGCCATTCATACAGTTCAGAAGTTCACTGAACTTCATACAGTTCAGCTCACTTAGCACGTCGTTCGTGGTTTGATTAGTCGAGACTGTTTTCCAAAGATGGCTCCTGTCTGTATACACAAAGTGGACTGTCTTTATCTTCTTATTAAACGGTCTGTACACTTACAAAGTTCCCAATGCTTCGTTTTACATGTAGGGACCCTCATTATGTTACTGTGTTCGTGTGGGGCTATTTTGAGCCTTGTTAGTGGTATTAACTAGCGATTTCTTTTTACTTATTATATGCCCCCATTACTAGCGTTATACGCTAAACAGTTTTTAGAGATAAAACTCTTTACATTCGATTATCATGAAAACAAATCTCAGAGAACGGTTGACTAGGTACCAATGTTTTATTAGACCAAAGGTTCATTTTGCGCCGGAGTTCTCCTTTAATGGAGCTCAGGATATTTATTCTAAACCTCTTTAGGATAAATATAAAAATGAATTAAAGAGAGTATTAAACTGTAAAATTAATATGGATAGCATAGTTTAGATAATATTGTCCTGAGATTTCCTTTCCCATGTGTTTATACACATTTCAAGTGCACCTATGTTTTCTAAAGACATGGTGCATTGTCTTCCCTTGTGCTCCATTAGAAGAGCTTCCGGTTCGCCTCTGGGAGCAAGATCGTGGAGAAAGCTGTCTGGGATACCTGGATGTCAAGCTCAAAGGCAAGTGGGAACCGGTTTGTCAGAAGGAAGTTGATACCGTAGCCGATGCATCTGCCGCTATTGCTACGGCTAAAGTGGTGTGCAGGGAACTAGGATGTGGGCATGTGCTGGAGTGGAAGAGGATTTTGGAAAACAACCGGCATTTCTCAAACACAATCGGGGGTATCAGATGCAGTGGGAAAGAAGAAAAGACCAGAGATTGCCCAATGAATGAAATTGAATTGTGCAAAAAGGGAGGCATTCTCTACATAGTTTGTTCAGGTGAGACAGATTGAGATTAATAATAAAAAAAATGCAATGTCATTTTACCCGAAAATGTTTTAAAGACCCCATGAAATGTTTTCATGAACCATAATTTGCTTGCTAGTACTATTAGAGGGGTAAACCTGGACAAAAATATGTGTAGTGCAAGATGAATCATCAACATTTTGCCCCATCTTCCCAGAAGAGAGAGTTTTTTTTAATGCAAATTTTAATGTATGTGTCCTGTATATCAGCTAAAGGTTAATTATGTTGACTTTTACGAGTACACTACCTAGCATATAAGCTTATGTATGGCTTTATAAAAATGGTCCAAAAGCCACAAAACACCAATTCATGTGGTCTGACTAATTCCCGCATACTTTGTACCTTTCTAATAAATGTCTTTCTTCCACTCTCCTCTTTGCCAGATGCATTGCCCCCTCCTAAACTGTCTGTGATGACTTACGGTCCTGTCCCTAAATTGTATGTCAGGGATAAACAAAATGTGGAAATCTCCTGCTCCATTGACTCAGCTTATTTAAAACCAAGAGACTATGTAACTCACCCCATTCACACTTGTACTGTTACACTGAATTGTTTTATAATTACATTGCAAATATTGTTTCTGGAACATATGCAGCAGTTTTCTTTACAATAGTCTTTTCTTTCCTGTTTAGGGGTACATCGTGTTTAGAAAGGATGGTACTGGTTTTAGAGAAATGTACATAAATCCAGGCACCTCTGCGTCTATCACACAGTATGACAAAGTGGCTGGAGAATATGATTGTGTATACCAACTTTATTCTTCAAAAATTAAACCTATGTCTCAGCCCAGCAATACAGTCTTCATTTACAGTGAGTGCCTATAAACAACTAACTTTTTAATCCATGATAACTAACATGAATTACTTTGTTTCAGCAGTTTTTTTGCGTCTAGTCATGCTCTTGATCTGCAATCTATGTTTAATGTAGAATTTTAAAGAACAAACACCAGGGGTCAGTGCTGAGCTACTAATTTGTCATTTTTACATAATTAAAAATAACACCTAAAGAATGAAGTTCTTTCTTTCAAGACCCCTGTCATATCAGTAACCTAATAAAAGCTGTTTTATTTTTGATGGAGCAGGTCACTTCTTAAGGACTGATAGGTTAAACAAAGTTTTAACAATGTTTGCCACAATATTCATTTCCGCCACACTGGAAAGGTCCTTTGGTTTAAAATGTAACTTTGACTGTGTCCCTAAATGTTGTCCTGACTTTGCCATACTTTGATGTTTACTTCTGTTTGTCTTTTGCAGTTTACAATCCTCCGGATCCGGCACCAATTGTTGCAGGTGTTCTCACAACTGTTATTGGGGTAGCAATTCTGACATATATTTGTGTCTATAGAACCGCGACCCAAGAGGTACAGGGCAATGAGTTTCCAGCACATTCCCAGGACCCTGCAACAAATACTGAAAACCCAGATAACAATGTCTACATACCACAGCAACTGTAGACCAAAGAAAAATAATTTATGGCTTGAAATTTGTTCAACTTCACTATAGAAATATTTCATCCCAATTTTCCACATGAAATATGACGTTTGATGAATATTGAGAAATGTTAAGAGGTGAATTTTGCAATGCAGTTGTACAAAGAGTTCCTGGAAAGGTTCATTAACCCTTTAAATTTTTTTCTCTGTGTTTTTATTGCTCTTAGGGCATGAAAAACGAGATTTGAACAAGATAATTTTAAAACAGTGTGCTTTTGTTTTTGACTGAAGATATACTGTAACATAATAAAATAGTAATACTGAGTGTATTTAACAAGACAATGAATACAATTATATAAAATCATGTGAAAACCAAACTCAGACTATGTAGAAAAAGCTTATGCTCCCAAGCTATATTAGCTCCCATTAGCTGATAATTCAAATTATGTACAAAATGGACAAATTTCTACCATAGCTCTCCTCTCAGAGAAAATCTACATTGATCTATTGATGTTTTCAGACTGTGTAAAAGGTGATCAGGTGTTTTCAATCTCATGTAACACATTACAAGTAATATGTATTATTGTATCTGAAATATAGCTAGTGAAGGATGATGTCCAATTTAGTGGACAGATGATTAATCAGAATTTCCTCCCAATCTAAAATCAATACTTGGAAAATGTAACAATTATATGACTCCATGGATGTTACAACTTTTTTTTTTTTTACCTGCAAGTGCCTCCTAGGAAAGAAGGAATATATGGATTTTCCGGAGCAAGTCAGCTGTCATACATCTTGGTTTGGAGAAATAAAATCCACATACAACGGCTTGCCACTTGGTGACAGTGTATAGATGCACTAGTGTCCACTGTAGTGGTTGATGTGCAATGCCATCAAAACCTATGCATACTCAAGAAAATGGCTTTTTGAATAGCTGTCCACTATGCATGAAAGGGTTAAAAGAGAATTTTTAGACATCAAAATTTGGCTTCATAAAGGAAAGTGGGACGAAGTTAACGTGGCTAAAACTATATCTTGAAAATGAACTAACCTAGTGTTTTAAGAGTATTAAGAATAAGGGAGTTTGTAATGGTTGCAATAAGTAAGTTCTGCCTTGCAAGATGCTTAACATGTTTGGCAGGATTTTAATGAAGACTAATTGAGGAAATAGAGCCAAGTGTCATCATCATAGTTTAAGGCCAACATAAGTGAAAATATATATCAACAACTTAAAATATATATATATATATCTGTTTAAATATCTTTTACTATTTATAGTTTCTTGGTGGTTCCATTGTCTAATTTTAAGCCATATGCAGCTTTTTGATGATTTGAAAATGTAAGGGACCCAAACAAAAAAAGCAGTGAAAAACAAAGCAAGGCAAAACTTGTGGTCTCAGATTTATTGTATTTAGAAGTTGGTGTCAAGTCAATCAATACAAAATAAATCTGGTTGAACATGATTTCAGTGTTGTTGCATTTTTCCATTTATAACAGGGATTGTAAAATATGCTCTGGAAGCAGTTTGAATACTGGGGAAAGTGTAAGGTAGTACAGTCACCACACAGTAAATGGAGCTCTCAGCTTCCCACTCAGCAAGTCCTCAAAGTTAAGGAGGGATGGTCACCAGAAATGCCATTGTGCCTATTTTTTGCTGTAACCGATCTTCCTTGAATGTGAGGTAGCTGGACTTTGGTAGCCCACAAGTCATTGTCATCAGTTACAGGTTGTAGGTCATGTTTTTATAGCAAATCGGTAAACTGACACTGTCAACTAAACTAGTATTAGTCAATATTAGTCAACATATTAGTCAACTAAAATACAGCAGGGAGTTGTAACACAGCACAAAACGTTCAACCAGGACTTTCAGGACCTGTATAACACATCCCTGATCCAGTAAAACCATGATAATGCTTGTGGTCATGCTAATGAGACTTGAAATCCTATTGTTGGTTTAAGGCCTAATTCACTTCAGTGGTTTCTATGAGTATTTCATTCAAGTTTCTCTTTCCCCATACATACCAGTGCAGAAATAAAAATTCAGTGGCTGGGAATACTGATTCTCCATTAAATTCTTCCTGGTGTCATTTAAGTGTAGTTGCGTTGATGATTTAAAATGGTAGTGATACCACCAGACAATAGATTATTGGTTAAGGGTCACTACCATCAACGCACAGAATAACCTAAAACATATTTTGTTTTTAGAAATCATTGTCCTCATCTCCTCATTAATAGGGGATAGCTGTCTGGCTAGAATATAGCACCAAAGATGGTTTGAGTTGAAGAAAGGTTTGAAGTGATCTGGTTGCAGGTAAGGAATGTGGGACGCTTGGTTAGGTTGGGTTGGAGGGCTTCTCCTTAATAGCGTCTGCTGCTGACAGAGCTGGTTTTGCTGATGGAGCTGCCACCATATCCTGAACCCCCACTGTATCCTGAACCACCTCCGAATCCTGAACCACTGCTAAAACCGCCACCATAGCCAAATCCAGAGCCACTACCAGAGAAACCTGCAAGAGAATGAAGGTTCAGAAACATACCGACATGACCTGGAGAATAAGATAAAAAAGGTGGATTGATTGAGAGCGATTGAGGAAGATTTACTTACCAGATGACAGACTTCCAGAGGTCTGCTGCACATGAATGGTGGCTGAAGATCCACCGCTGGTCAGTCTGAGTAAAGAATATGACAGATTTGCTTAGTGATGTTTTTCAACACCCAGAGGTTGGTGGAAAAGTTCTGAGAGTGTAAATATCAGAGAAACACTTTTTTAACACTTCCTACCTGTTCTCCTCTCCCTCCAACAGCTTCCTGTAGGTGGCGATCTCAATGTCCAGGGCCAATTTGACGTTCATGAGTTCCTGGTACTCACGCACCTGGCGGGCCATGTCTTGCTTGGCCCTCTGGAGGGCTTCCTCAAGCTCCTTGATGCGGAGCTTGGCGTCCTTCACTGCCAACTCTCCACGCTCCTCAGCCTCAGCGATCTGAGCCTCCAAGTTGGTACGCTAAAATGACAACAACGTACATAAAGTCAGCTTTTTCACATAAACAGAATGTGAAATATTTTTGTATCAATCCTTGCTCATCATTACTTGTCCCTTGACGGCATCAATCTCATTCTGCAGGCGGGAGATCATACGGTTGAGATCAGCAATCTCAGCCTTGGTTGAGCGGAGGTCCTCACCGTATTGACCAGCAGAGGACTGCATCTCCTCGAACTGTAACACATATTGAGACAATGAGTAGTTACGTAGCTACAGATGAGGTGGGCTTCAAGAGTTGAACCTATAAGAGCTTGACCCACCTTCTGTTTGTACCAGCTCTCTGCCTCGGCACGGCTGCGGTTTGCAATGTCCTCATACTGAGCACGAACTTCAGCCACAATTGAGTCCATGTCCAGGTTTCTGCTGTTGTCCATCTCTACAACAACTGACGTGTCCTTGATCTGAGACTGGAGCTCACGCAGTTCCTGCAAACCCAGACCAAACAATCTGTAAATTGCACGCCATAACAAAGCAGCAGTACTATATGCTATGTAGCTTTTGTTGGCCAAACACAAC